AAGTTGTTTTATAGTTACGTGAATTCATAGAAATGAAGAGTGTTAGAAAGATAAATATGAGTTAATAGAGAAGACTAAATATGTTTTTTTCTCGTTTCTCTGCTCAACTTCTTTTAAAAAACATAGGGTTGAACAGAGCAATATTTACAACACTATGCTAGTAGGTTTATAGCATATGTAATATATAGTATTTAATGACTGTAGATGTAGTATTTAATGACTATAGATATAATACACAGTACTTAGGGCCTCTCTGGTGGCTCAGTGGTGGAGAATCTGCCTACCAATGCAGGAGACTAGGGTTCAGTACTGGGGTTGGGAAGATCCCCTGGAGAAGGAAATGGCAACCCACTTCAGTATTCTTGCCTGGAGAATCCCATGGACGGGGAGTCTGGTGTACTGCACTCCATGGGGTCACCAGAGTCACACTCAACTTAGCAACTAAACAGCAACAACAGTGCAATATTTAAGACAAAGGAAGGCAGAAGGAATAGAACCATAGTAGAGCAAAATTTCTTCATTTCACTGGAAGAAGTAAGTTAGTATTAATCTGAAGCAGACTGTGATAAATTAAGAAGCACATTATAATCTTGATGGCAACCACTCAAAAAATAGTAAGTTAATAGAGGAACTGAAACAGTACAGTGAAAAGTATTGGGCACAAAACAAGGTGGTAAAGAGGAATAAAAAAGGCAGTAACTGTAGAAAGCATAGCAAAATGGCAAGTGTGAATCACCGTGTTAGTAATGACATTCAGTGTGACTCTAAGCATGTGAAACAAAAGACAAAGATTGTTCACTGGGTGAAAAAGATCCAATTATCAGTGTATGAGAGGCATACTTAAGTTAATAAACACAAATAGGTTGAAAGAAAAAGGGTGGGAAAAGATAAACGATGCAAACAGTGACCACAAGAGAGATGAAGTGGTTTTGTTAAATATCAGATTAAATAGATGTGAAGATGAGACTTACCAGGGACTAAGATGTTTTATAATGATGAGAGGATCAATACAAAGATATAACAATTATAAATGTATATGCTCTAGTAACAGCTTCAAAACATATGAAGCAGAGTCCAATTGAATTGAAGGAAAAATAGATATTCCAGTAATAAATGGAGGCTTCGATACCCTATTCATGATAATTGATAGAAAATCAGCAAGGATATAGAGAATACTTGAACAACACTATCAAACAACTCTGACATGTATAGAACAATGATTGTAGAATACATTCTTATCACATGCACACGAATATTCTCTGTGATAGATCATTTGCTATGCCATAAAACAAGTTACAGTATCTGAAAGGATTGAAATCACATAGCATACACTGACCATAACAATTTTCTGTTAGAAATCATCAGCAGAAAGAGATCTGGTGAGTCCATAACAGATGTTTGGAAATTAAACAACACACTTCTAAATAGCCTGAGTCAAAGAAGAAATCCAAGAAAAGCCATGAAATGTTTTTAATGGCATGAAAACAAACCCACAATATATCAAAATTTACAGGATGCAGGTACATTAGTTCTTGAGAAAAATGTATGGCTTTAGAAATCTATATAGGAAAAGAATAGTCTCAAATGAAAATCTCACCTTGTAACTGAGGAAACTAGAAAGAGAAACTAAAAAGAAAATAAATCCAAAACAAGAAGAAGAAAGAAAGCAGAAATCAGTGAAGAGAAAATCTTCATTGGCTAGAAAAAAATAAGAGACAAATTAAATTTCAGGTTGGTTCTTTGAAAAGTTTAGCAAAATGGGGAAATGCTTAGCTGACTTCAGAAATGAGTATTTTAAAAAGGCAAGGGAGGGACTGCCATATGACCCAGCAATCCCACTGCTGGGCATACACACCGAGGAAAGCAGAATTGAAAGAGACATGTGTACCACAGTATTCATCACAGCACTGTTAACAATAGCTAGGACATGGAAACAACCTAGATGTCCATTGGCAGACAAATGGATAAGAAAGTTGTGGTATATATACACAATGGAATATTACTCAGCTATTAAAAAGAATGTATTTGAATCAGTTCGAATGAGGTGGATGAACTGGAGCCTGTTATACAGAGTGAAGTAAGTCAGAAAGAAAAACACCAATACAGTATATTAACGCATATGTATGGAATTTTTAAAGATGGTAATGATGACCCTATATGCGAGACAGCAAAAGAGACACAGAGATAATGAACAGACTTTTGGACTCTGTGGGAGAAGGCGAGGGTGGGATGATTTGAGAGAATAGCACTGAAACATGTGTATTACCATATGTGAAATAGATCGCCAGTCCAGGTTGGATGCATGAGTCAGGGTGCTCAGGGCTGGTGCACTGGGATGACCTGAGGGATGGGATGGGGAGGGAGGTGGGGGGGGGTTCAGGATGGGGGACACGTGTTGGGGGGGGTTCAGGATGGGGGACACGTGTACACCTGTGGCTGTGTACATCCTCTCTTGTCCCTTTGCATCCCATGATTTTTCAATAAAAATGCCAAGATAATTTGGTGAAAAATAGTCTTTTCAACAAATGGTGTTGGGAAAATAAAATATTCACATGCTAAAACCAAAATGAACTAAGACTCCTAATTCATATCATATGCAAAATTAACTTAAAGTAGCTCATAGACCTATATGTGGAGCTGAAACTATAAAATCATAGGGAAAAAAATAGGAGAAAATCTTCATGACCTTGGGTTAAGAAAAGAATTATTAGATGTGACACCAAAATATGATCCATAAAAGAAAAAAAAAAGATAAAGTGGGCTTCATTAAAATTAAAAACATTTACACTTCAAAAGATACCAGTAAAAAATTGAAAAGACAGGCCACAGACCGGGAGAAAATACATTCACATCAAGTAATTGGTATGTTTTCAGAATGTATAAAGAAACCCTTTAACTCAGTAAGCAGACAGCTCAGTATAAAAACAGGCAAAGATTCACAGGGAGGCTATATAAATGGCTAATAAGGATATGAAAAGATGCTCAGCATTATTAGTCATTAGGGAATATAAATTAAAACCAAAGTAAGATATCATTAATACCCACTAGAAGGACTGTAGTAAAGAAGATAGTATCAAGTGTTGATGAGGATATAGACAGACTGAAACTCTCATACATTGCTGACAGGGATGTAAAATGGTGCAGATACTTTAGAAAAGTTTGGTAGTTTCTTAGAAAGCTAAACATAAACTTAACACACGACTGACTGTTCCCACTCGTAGGAACGTCCTTAGAAGAAATGAAAATACGTGTCTGCAGGAAGTCATATTACTATGTAAATGTTAAAAGCAATACAATTAATTGTAGCCACAACCTGGGAAGTCCATATGTCCATTAACTGGTGAACAGATTCACAAAATATGTTATATCCAAATAGTAATAGTAGCATTAGTCGCTCAGTCATGTCCAACTCTTTGCAACCGCATGGACTATAGCCCACCAGGCTTTTCTGTCCATGGGATTCTCCAGGCAAGAATACTGGAGTGGGTTGCCATTCCTTTTCTCCAGGGGATCTTCCTGACCCAGGGATCAAACCTGGGCCTCCTGCATTGCAGGCAGATTCTTTATCATCTGAGCTACAGGGAAGCCCAAGTAGTTCCATCCAAATAGTGGAATGCTATTCAGAAACCAAAAGGAACAGACTGTTGACACCTTCTACAACACCTTTCTACAACATGGATGGACCTCAGAAACATTATGCTTAGTGCAAGAAGGCAGCTGCAAAAGACAGCATGTTTTATGATTTCATTTATATGAAATATCCAGAAGGCTCAAGTTTATAGAGATAAAAAGCAAATCAGTGGTTGCCTGGGGGTGGGGATGGAAATGTAGATTGACTGCAAACAACATTAAGAAATTTTTTAGGGTGATCAAAGTAATCTCAAACTAGATTGTGGTGATAGTTGCGCAGCTCTTCAAACTTGCTAAGAATCATTAGGTTGTACGCTTGCAGTAGATAAATTTTGTGCTGTATAAATTCTCTCTCAGTGAAGTTGTTAAAACAAAAATTTGAGGATACCTGACTGTCTTAAGTAACACATTCTTTCAGTATGACCAGCGTCATCTGTTATTGGGTATGACCACTTTTATTTTCCCACTCGTAACAAATCCTGTTGCAAATAACATTAACTTATTTTAGACCTGACTCCTATTAGTGAAGAAGTTGAAACACATTTCACTCATTGGCTCAAGTTGTTCCATGTGAGTCAGCTCTTTCAAAGAAAGCAATTTTGGAATATGAATTTGCTTATTCAGACCTTGGGCTGCCCAGGTGGCACTGGTGCTAAAGAACTCACCTACCAGTGCAGGAGACGTAACAGACGCAGGTTCGATCCCTGGGTTGGGAAGATCCCCTGCAGGAGGGCATTCTTGCGTGGGAAATTCCATGGACAGAGGAACCTGATGGGCCCCAGTCCATAGGGTCACAAAGAGTTGGATATGACTGAAGCGACTAACACACACATTCAGACCTTAGGTAAGGTTTAGTCCCAGGGTGTATATAATTCACTAGAGGTTGAAAGACCTAGTGTACTTTTCAGACTTTCTAATCATGAAAGGAGTAGCTGCATCTCTCAGAATTTGGTGCAGTATCTAATTAATGTCATGATCATACTTTTGGAATAGGACATTGATAGGTGTAACTATCCTATAATATATAGATGTATAGTATATATATATATATATATAGAGAGAGAGAGAGTGTAGATATACTAGATATATACTAAGATATACTATAGATATATAGTAACAAAGTGAGTTACTCAAGGTGATATCATTTGAAAAGCCATAAACTCAGATATATTCCCCAGCACCCCATAGCTTGAGTGGTGTTACAGACACAATCCTCTTTTTTTTTTTCAAAGAAATATAGTTAGTTGGCTGTCATCAAGTCTGTTTGTTACTGAGGTTGAATTTAGAAGTAGTGTCCTTTCGTTATGTCTTTATTTTCCTTTGATTCTTTAGTTGGAGTCGCACTACTCACTTAAATCCCTCCTTTTTAGCTCTTACAGTTCAACCCTGTGGAGCGGCTTGGTGCTGGAGTTGCTGGTGTTGAAGATATCAAATCTCATCCATTTTTTACCCCTGTGGATTGGGCAGAACTGATGAGATGAACAGAGTGCAGGGTTCTCTGCACACATTCTGGCCTTCTCTGCGACAGGCATCTCTAGCATGGAGGCAGCTCGCCGCACACTCACTTACGGGACATCAAGCATTGGGATTAAGAGCTTTAGAGGAAATGGAGAGAAAAGGCCTGGGAGAGAACCACTCCTTTACAGTTACTGTCTGGACAAGATGCCTTTGCAGGGAGCTGTTATATATAAACCAAGGTGTGATCTTTATTTTATCTGCATTTAGTGGTGCAGGTCAGTTGTAAACCCAACTAAAAGAGGAATGCCCTTCGAGAACTTCCTCTGAGATGAAGCTCCAAGTGTAGAATGAAGTGTTACTTGAAAGGATGACCTTTACATGGCAGCTGACTGTGCTTTTCGCTAACCAAGATATATATACTAAAAGTGCTTCACAAGTAATGGCATCTATGAAGCTTAAAAAATGAGAAAGAATATACACATCATGTCTGATAGGAAACCTCAACCACAATGCTATATAATTAATGTATATCAAATGTGGTCCCATATTCATTCTTTCTGAAGTCCACATAAGGAAAAAATACTTCCTGTTGTCAACTGTATACTTTCTTGGTTAGTATTGCTAACAGTAGGGTTCCTATGAGCTCTCAGCTCTCTCTCTCTCTCTCTCTTTATCTTTCCACTTGCTATACCCTTTGCCTATCGTCATATTCTGTTCTTCCTACCCCTACTAATACATAGGCAGCCAAAAAGGGAAGGGAGTATTTATATCCCCAAATTGTATCAACTTAATAAGAACTAAAGAATCATGATGTAAAATAAATGAGCTAAAAACTGAAGTCTCTCTTTCTGTTAATTGCTTACAATTTTTTTTCTATTCAAAGACCTCTCTCCTTTTCATTTTGAAAGGTTAGCAATTTCTGCCTCTTACTGTGTTTGACTTCGTTTTAGTTTTTTGGCTGAGTATCCTAAGAACCAAAGGATCTCATCTCAGTGGGATTGAATGGCAATCCTGTTTTATTACGTATTGACAGGATTTCTAGATTTGACCTCCTCATCTACTTGACATTGTGTCGAAAGAACAGGAGTATTTATACGTTTGTGTTTGTTATTTCTTTCTGTTGCTAAGATAGCTCCTGTAGTCATGCTGTGTTTACAACAGAATGCAAACTTTTTAAGTTAATGCCTGTTTTTTTAAATCTTGATCCAAAGATGAAAGAATAAGTCATCATTTCCATATGGTGCCACAAACACAATGAAAGTTTTTTGTATGTTTTAATTCTTTGTATTTTCAAGATCTGTGACAGAGCCTATCCCCACCCCAAGAGCCTCTGTGCAGCTCCCAGCTGCCATTGGCCAGGTCCGCCCATCACATTAAATGGAAGCAGAAAATACCTGAGTGGAATGAAGGAAATGTGCGAGCATTTTTCCTTGTTCTGTTATCCTACTCCCCCACTTTCCTTTTTGGTCCCCTTATAACCTGAACCCCAGCTGAAGGGCTGCAGCAACACCGGGATGGGGGCCAGGTCACCAGGATCATAGCTCAGTTGAGATGACATCACTCCCTGGAACTGGATTTCAACTCACCAGCCCCCAGGCCTCAAAACAGGAACTCATGCAGGTGAGACGCAAGAGTGACTTCCTGTGCAGGGCTAGTAGGAAATCTGCAAGTAGTTAGAGTTGGTCGTTACAGAGCTTCCTTCCAGAAGTGCCCTATGACATGAGAGAGGACTTCACAGCTAAGGTGACGCTCCCAGCCCTACCGTGTGACTTTCGTCCCTGGGTTCAAAGGACAGTGTTAACAGATGGAATTGTGTTGACATAAATCCGTTGCTTCAGTTTCTCTATTTCTCTCTGTGTTTGGAACTTGTACTTAATGTAAACACATCATTCATAATCATGGTGGACATGAATTATAGAGTAATAAACACACAGGGTAAATGGCTTTGAGATGGTGAACCCAAGTCTGTTTTTACTTGATGAAATGTATTAGAAATATCAAAATCAAAGAACTTACCACTTACTATTTCTCATTTGATTTTTAAAATTTATCTTTTCTCAATTAGTTTTTTATTGTATCAAAATTACATAACAAAATTTACCATTTTAACTGCTTTTAAGTATACAATTCAGTGCCATTAAGTATATTCACTTTTCCCAACCATTACCACTGCATTTCAGAACTTTTAAATCTTTAAAACTGAAACTCTTTGCCCATTAAACAAGAACTTTCCATTCCTTCTCCCTCCATCTCACTGTTCTACTTTCTGTGTGAATTTTATTTTCTAGGTCTCTCACAGAAGTGGAATCATATAATAGCTGTTCTTTTTTGTCTGACTTATTTTGCTTGATATAGTGTTTTCAAGGCTCATCCATGCTCTGATATCATATATCAGAGTTCCATTCCTTTTTAAGGCTGAATAATATTCCATTGTATGTATATATCACATTTTGTTATCCATTCATCAGTGGACATTTGGATATTTCTACCTTCTGGCTGTTGTAAGCAGTGTCCTTGAGAACATTGATGTACAGACATCTGTTTGAGTCCTTACTTTCATTTGATTTTATATTTTTGTATGAAGTTACTGATACCGTTGACTGTTACTTTACTACGTTCTTTATAAAGAGCTTTTCCAGCAGGTCGCCAATAATTTGGCATAATGCCACCTATCTTCAGACATGATATGAAAATCTACCATTTCTGTTTCACAGAAGGGGTAAGTTAAGGTCCCTAAGAGTGAAAAAGAATGCTGTGATTTTAACAGTTTAACAATGGTATGAGTTAAGACTTTTGGGAAACATGTATGTCTTCAATTTACTTGTTGTAATTAGTGACCTCTTGTTAATGTGTTTAAACCTGTATTTTAAGCCTTTCTAAGTAGCTATAATTCCTCTTGTGTTTTGACCCTCAGGCTTTTCCTACCCTGTCTTATTTCAGAATCGTTGTGAACCAAGATTGAGTTTAACTTTCGTATAATTCGTGTAATGAAAAAAGATAAAATCTATAAATAATATTCATGCTATGAGCAGTAACACTATATTAGGACCCTGCACATAATGTATGCCTTAGTTGAATTCCAGTTGCCCATAATTTATGACTCTAAATAGAAAAATACCTGATTGTAGCACTGAAAATTTCTTTGCCTCACAGGGAGCCTTTTCTAGCATCTTTATTGGACTCACTTAGGAATTACTTCCCAGGTGGCTCTAGTGGAAAAGAACGCGCCTGCCAAAGCAGAAGACGCAAGAGACTGGGGTTCAACCCCTGGGTCAGGAAGATCCCCTGGAGGAGGGTATGGCAGCCCACTCCAGTGTTCTTGCCTGGAGAAGCCTGTAGACAGAGGAGCCTGGTGGGCTACAGTCCATGGGGTCGCAGCGAGTCGGACACGACTGAAGCAGCTTAGCACACGAAGGGATCACTTCACAGCAGAGGCCAAGGCGTAAGATGGATTATCTTTCTTCTTAAAGTAGTGGATTTAACCTCTGGGTTATATAAATGCTCCGGGTAAATGAAACCTGGTATTTCAAGTTCTTTCTCTGAGGGTTGTGAAATAGAAAGTCTTAGGGTGGTATCTGGTCCCATTTCTGTGACTAACTAGACTCTTCTTTTAACTTTAATAGCAATATTCTAGATCTGTTCTCTTACCTATAGAATGAGAAGGTAGTTGAGTTCTAAGCATCACAAGTATATGGTGGACTTTTTCAGAGTAAACCAACATTGTAAAAATACAAAGTTAATGAAAATCTTAAACTGGTACTTAACTGTTTTCTTGTAACCATTTTTTAGTAATCCCAGATACTTGGGTTACTGCCATGTATTCGCCCAGTAGCACAGTGCTTAGTGGGTATGTGGCTATAAAAATTAAAAACAGATTGAAATATTAAAGGGCTGTTTCTCTGTCAGCTCTACGCTGGAAAAGGAGAGTTGAAGGTCTAGACAGAAGTGCAAGGAGGTGAAAGGAATAGGACACACCTACATTTGCTCACTTCTTAGACCTTTCTCCACAACTCTGGTGGTTTTCCTGCCCCTGTTGCCCTCATTTATCATATTTCATATGCTTATTTGACTCACTTCTTGGGTAGGCACAATCAGAGTACAAAATTGATACCTTCTGTTCCTATTTAATGCAGAACATTAACCTCTACCAGTCTAGGTAATTTGGACTTTTGAGTATTTGCTGTCTACTCAGCTCATTTTAAGGATTTCATATTAAGTCCATGTTTAAGGGTTACTAAATGGCAAAAGCTGTGAAGTCAGTCATTTCTCAGTAAGATTGTAAACATAGCAGGGAAACGGGAAGCAAAGTACTACAGGTTTTTATGATTCAGCAGCACTTACTCTCTAAAGAGCAGTAAATAGGAAACCAGAGGACAAGCTTCCTTTTTTAGGAAGATTTATAATAGTGGTGATGTGTAGTCAGATGGCAGAGCCCTGCCTTTGTCCCTGCCATGTGACTTCTTTCCTCGATCCAGGGATCTGGCACAGGGAGAAATAGCGACCGAAAATGTGAGGAGGTGTAGGACAGAAAGTGACCCGAGTGTTACTCTGTGAGGGTGAAGCAGGGCGCTTGTGAGGTGTGTTGGCCCAGGTTTCTGGAACAATAGAATATGTTTTTTTTCAGCTGAAGTGCTATTCTTTGTTCTTCCCCCAGCAAGAGTTAGGCAGAAACAGAAACTATTCCTCTTCCTCCAGGAAAAGAGATGCTAAACTACCTTTTGGAAAGAATTAAGTGACTCACTTACCCAGAGTTGGTTCTAGCTCTGCTTTCTTGCAGAGGACAGCTGGTATGTTTCCAGTAAAGAAGAGGCTAGGAGTGTCTCCAAAGAGCTGCTTTGGTTTCTGTGGGCAAGAAAACCTCTCACTGTGTAAGAAAGAATGGCCAGCAAACCAACTTCTGGTCACACTTAGAGATGTTGGCATCCTGCTTTTGTAAATCTCAAAAAAGTGTTCATATCAAAAAGGTAACTCTTCTGGGCATGTTGATGAGATTCCTTCTAAAGCTAAACCACAAGGTAGGAGTTTGACCAGCCCCACCTAAAGAGGCAAATGTCGAAGGGGATTTGACACATGTAAAAACACTTGAACCTGTTTCGTTATTTGAACCAAAATAACAGCTGCAATGGGATGTTGCCCTTATCCCATGGCAGACAGACATAAGACAGTGACATCAAATAGACAGACTCAATAGTGACATAGAAAGGAAGAAAAATTAAAAAAAGATGTGAAGTGTTGGCAAAACAAAAATCTGTACAACTTTATAGTCTTGGTTGTTCTGGAAGGAAAATGTAGTAGATATTTGACGGCTCTGTCTTCAGCAAAACATTCTAAAAGCCTAAGAAAACTAAAGCTGAGCACATCCCCTCCCTGCGCTCTCCTTTCCTCATTCTTCTCCGTCTTCCTCCCTTCATCTTTTCTTCATCTACCCCCCATGCCTCCTGTGGGCTCCTCTGGTCACTGAACAAAAGACATGGTACTCGTCTTCAAGGACCTTATAAAACTCAGGGGGAGGAAAGCATAAATAATAAGTAGGGCAGGACGTGTTCGTGTTAGAAGGTACAAATAGGGTATGGTGTGCCTACAAAGGAGATCAGAGCAACTGCAGGAAGGCTGCCTATATTGGAATGGAACCTTGACCTTTGAATCATATTTTTAAACATAAGGACTTCTCTTTTTTCAAGATTTTGTTTGGGAAGAAGGAAAATCTCCAGAGGAACAAAAAACAGTTGTGTACAAAGGCCTGGAGCCAGGAAAAGGGGAAACAGTGCCTATTCTATTTGGGCTGGTGTGTAGACATATGCTTTTGAAAGGTAGGTTGGGGCCAAGTTAAATGCCCCC